TCACTGGTTGAGCGCGGTGCGGGCGCAACACCGAGGGTTGCGATCCCGTTACCGGTCACGATCCCGTTACCGGTCACGAAAAAAGACAAAAAGTAAAAAAAAAAAAAAAATCAAGGAAGGAAAGATAAACTTCTCAAATGGTGTTGGATAACTTCAACTGGGCAGCTGTCTTATAACAATGATTTATGCCTCATAACATGTCAGGATAAATTTCAAGTAGATTAATACTTAAGGAGGAAAACTGTACTAGGAGGAAATAAGAGAGAATTCTATCAACATGGAGTTGAAAGCTAATCTCTCAAAATCCAGAAAGTATACAAAAAAGATTAATGAAAGTACCCAAGGGAGTGTGATGGGTATCAATACACAGGTGCATTTAAGAAAAAGTGTCCCTGGAGTGGAGGCTGGATACAGTTTTATCAAGTTTTTCTCTTTAAAAAAATAATTTTATAAGATGGCTGTCACCTAGAGACATATACCTCATCATGTCACCCAACAATGTAACTTTCCACTCTGTCCCAAAAGAGAGGCTGAATTTTTCTATTAGAAAGGCAAAGAATAAAGTATTTTCAATGAGGGGCTAGTTGGTTAGCTCAGAGTGCAGACTTGTAATACCAAGGTCAAGGGTTTGGTTCCTGGTACCGGTCAGCTGCCCCCGCCTATTTTTTTTTTCAATGAAAGCAACTTTTATCAGTGGCTCAGCTTTGTTTTTCTTTCTTTCTTTTTTTTTTTTCCCTTTTTGTCTTATTTTTACTGACCAGCAATGGGATCGCAACCCTCGGTGTCGCGCCCGTACCGGGGACCGGCAACGGGATCGCAACCCTCGGTGTTGCGCCCGCACCGCGCTCAGCCAGTGAGCGGGAACCGGTCTCCACATGGGATCCGAACCCTCGGCGGGAGCGCCGCCGCGCTCCCAAGCGGCGCACTCTCCAGTGCGCCACCGGGCCAGCCCTTGTTTTTCTTTCTTGACGGCTGAAAAAAATTATATGTCATGTGCCAACTCAGAACGTTTATAACACGATAGAGATGTTCACTTGCTCTCATCTGCTTCAAATTATCTTCACAAGCACTTGGAGGCCTTGATTACCAATCTGTTTATATGGTTAAACAGATCCAAAATTACTTCCTGAAGTGAA